CCTTAACTCTCCCTCAATACGCTGAGGTGTATCAAAGCTATCGAGAACTACGAACTACAAGACTCCTTCAGTCGACCTGAGATATTGAGTCGAGTCGACTGGATCGCATTCAACCGTTAGTGGACCCTGATACGTCTGACCGTTGTCTTGGCAGAAATCGACTTATTCTAGTCGACAGGTGTACGTCGATCAGTCGAGAGCCGGGATTCTTGACTGAGTATCGTGGAGCCTTACTGGCGGAGTCGACTTTGTTGAAGTCGACTTGATAGTTTCGAACCATGATGATACGAACCGTTATGAGCCAGTGTGGCTATATCAATATATTTTTAATTTTTTTACTTTATTCAATTTAAAAAAATAGTATTTTAGTTGTTAATGAGAATTTAAGTTTAAATTAAAATATTATTTAAAATAAAATAATTAAAGTTGATTTGATGTAAAAGTATGAAAAGAATAATTAGAGGTGATGATTAGTTAAAATTATGTAAGTGAATGAATAATGAATTAAAAATATTGTAATGTGTAAGAATGATTGCTTGATATTATTTAATTATTAAAAATAGTGAATTTAAATTAAATTTGATTTTTGATTGATTTTTTTCTATTCAGTTTATAACCACATGCCCTCAACCAGTATTTTCAATACCGTACCGTGCCGGTCGGTAATACCGGATACCGGCCATTAGTACGGTATAATTGCACACAGAATATTGGATTCACGGTTATACCGGTTTGTAGCTGGGTCATACCGTAAATACCCAGAAAAACTGGTCATAAAAAAATAATAAATAATAAATAAAAAAATAAAATTTATTAATTTAAAGACATAAAATTTAAATTGGTAGTTAGAATGTTTTATTTTTATCTCATTGGTAAGTTAAAATTAATGATTATGGTGATTTATTTTTTTTACTTTTTTGCATTTGGTATTATACGTTTTTATATATAATTATATACATCATTATATTTGTTAGTCCGATAATACTGCCGATATTATTGATCGGACCGGTAATATCGCATACCCGTAGCTAGACGAGTATGGCCACCGGTGCGGTATTTAAATAAATGCCGTTAACGTTATCCAAACCGTACTCCTGTTCACCCATGCTACTCAACTCGCACTTAATTACTACCACAGCTACATCAATCTTTCCTCCCACCCAACTCCCACGTTGCTTGTAAATCGTGCATAAAATGTCGTGCAAAATCATTCATCAACTGTGAGAACACCATAAAAATTCAAAGAAATAAAAATGGAGAAATCGGGCTATGGCCGCGACGGCGTGTACAGATCCTTGAGGCCGCCGTTGTTCGCCCCGAAGGACCCAAATCTCTCCATGGTCTCCTTTCTCTTCAGAAACGCCTCCTCTTTCCCCCACAAACGCGCCCTCATTGATTCACACACCGGCGAGACCTTAACTTTCGCCCAGCTCAAATCCGCCGTCTCCAAAGTCGCCCACGGCTTGCTCCAGCTGGGCATCAGCAAGAACGACGTCGTCCTGATCTTTGCCCCAAACTCGATTCAGTTCCCCATCTGCTTCTTGGGGATCGCCGCCGTCGGAGCTATTGCCACCACAGTAAATCCTATGTACACCGTCTCTGAATTATCTAAACAGGTACATGATTCCACGGCCAGGCTCATCATCACCGTTGAGGATTTGCTACACAAGGTTAAGGATTTCGGCCTGCCAGTTGTTCTACTAAATTCCGCAGGGACACCGAGTTCGCCTGTCGGGAAAATCCCGTCGATAACCCTATTCACCGAGCTTGTGAATAATGGAGGGTCTGTAAATTTAGACAGTAATTTTAGTAAAATCAAGCAAGATGATGTTGCTGCATTGTTGTACTCTTCGGGGACCACGGGCACGAGCAAAGGCGTCATACTTACTCATGGAAACTTCATTTCCGGCGCGTTAATGGTGACCTCCGATCAAGAATCCGCGGGGGAATCGGATAATGTTTTCCTTTGTTTCCTGCCGATGTTCCACGTGTTCGGTCTGGCTGTGATCCTGTACTCGCAGCTGCAGCGGGGCAATGTTGTGGTCTCTATGTCGAGGTTTGATCTCGAGTTGATCTTGAAAATGGTGGAGAAATACAGGGTGACACATATGTGGGTCGTGCCGCCTATTGTTTTGGGCCTGGCCAAAAGTCCGGTGGTTAAAAAGTATGATCTTTCGTCTTTGAAGCAGATTGGGTCGGGGGCAGCCCCACTAGGGAGGGAGTTGATGCAGGAGTGTGCCAAGAATTTTCCCCGGGCCGTTGTTAATCAGGTTGGTTTGTCTCATCACTTGACTCTCAAGTTTTATCAATCATGAATTGCTGAAGTTCGTATTTTAATTGCAATGAATTATTTTGTGGTAGTGTAACTTGTGCATTTACATAGTAGAGTGATCCCCTTACTATATTGTGTATGGTGTTTATGCAGTGATGAATATGTGTAAATATCCCTATTTCCATAGACCCTTCATTATGCAGTTGTGAAGTCTTTCATGTGATTAAATTTGTGTTTCTCTTGGGCAACTACAATGTGTTCATTTGGAAGGCATAGCAGATGCTATGTTAATGAGATAGTCTTCTGGTAGGAATAGATGAGGTTGTTTTGTTGTTTGCCAGATCAATATCACATAATTTGTTGACCAATTATTAAATATATCGATTTACATAATTGTAGATGTCACATTCGAAAAATATCAGCAATTTACGCAATATCACATTGTCGTACAACCTTATTTAATTAGTATATCATTGCCATGCGTTTTAAAAATATTTAGCAAAAAATAATAATGGATGGTTTGACGAAAAAAATAATTTGAGGGAAATGAATTTTATTAAAAATTACATTTCTTACTTTTGGAAGTTCAACTGTAATTGTGGCCCAAATTATTGTCAATATTTTATTTTGGTTTGAAAATTAATTTTCAAAATTTTTCGTATTATGTAAGTAGATTTTTTGAAAATTACGTAATATTTAAAAATTGTATATACATATATATGTATATTATATCCTTATTTAATTGTTCGATCTCATTTTGCCATTTCTCCTTCTTTTTTTTTTGGTACAATTTTTTTTTGGTACAAGCCATTTCTCCTTCTGTTATAAGTAATTGATACATGTGAAAGTAATGTAAATTCATTTTCTAATTACATTTATGTGTTATTGTTCTCACCCGGGCCAGTTTCCAGTTTTTAGAATCCAGAAACCCATGATTAAGATAGTTGAAACTTTGAATACCTATCATTATAGTGATGTTGAATGAAGAAAATGTTTAGTACCAAACAATGATGTGTTGTAATGACTAATGAGTAATGACACAACTATATGAACTCTTTGTAAACCTTGTTTCAATTTTTTGTAGATAATTTTATTACCTATATCAGGTTAATTAATTGCTACAATTTGATTGTATTAATTAATTGCACTTTTAAGTTTAGGTTGGAAAATTAAGTCACATACTATACAACTTTTAGACTTTTTTTTTGGTTTATTATATATATAGATATAAATCTATATATAAATACTGTGGGACATAACCTAATAACCTATCATATGCTTCAAATCATGTGATATTTGACTTGTACATAATGAGTTTCTGAACATACATGTATCATAAGTAGGACTTCAGGATGATTGTCATTTTACGGCTTAAGTTTGATGAATATTATGGAGTATGTTTTACTGGTTCTTATTTTTTATCGTCTTTTGAAAATATAATAGAACAAAAAATAACATTTGGTAAAGTTTATTATGATGGGTAATAACAAAAGATTTTTATTTCAAATAAGCAATGAACCAATTTTGGTACTTTTTTAATTGGATATTTATGACCAACAGTGTTTCTTTACCCAAACCGCCCAATGGGTCGGGCCTGGGACCCAATCGACCCGGATCCTGGTGGGTCTTTCGGACTGGGTAACAAGCAACCTGGTCAAAGAAACAACTTTGTCAAACCACCCAGATGACCCATACATTGACCCGGCCGCATCAACCCAGATTGATTCGACCATTTTATATTTTCTAAATTAATATTGTTTTGTTTTAAAAATAAAATTATTTATATATTTATGTGGTAATATTTATGATGTGATACAATATTACTAAAACTTTGGGATGTAAAATTTACATATAAAAAAGTTATTGTTATTTTTATATAAAATTAGTATACATAATTTGAAAACTTCTAAAAATAAGTACCCGATTCAACAAGTGACCCGATGATTCGACGGTTGAACCAGTGGTCAAGAGGCCAGCACGGGTCATTTACGAGGCCAAATTTAAAAATATTAATTCAGGCAATTCCATCATAGAAGTAATGGTGGAAAATAAAATACCAATGTTTTCTAGATGTAACTTGTATAATTACAAGGGTAAGGTTTGCGTACAACTGACCCCCCAGACCCCAACCGGTTAGGAATATACTGGGTATGTTGATGTTGATGTTGATGTTGATGTTGATGATGTTTTCTAGATGTAACTTGCATATGTTTTAAGAATGTAAATAAAATCTTGTTAAATCATCTTTAGGAATATGAGGTGAATCTTGTTCACTTCACAAAAATGAGCTTATTTTGGTTCTGTTTGAACAGTACAATATGGGTGGCCAGCATCTAAGACATGATATATACCGTGAGGACTCTATAATACTTGCTAGCAATTTTTAGTTTGAGTGGACACTTGATTTGACTAACTGAGGCTTTTTCGATTGATCCACTTTGGAGTTTTATGTGTTGTGTTTTGACGAAGAATATGGTTTCATTCAGGGTTATGGAATGACTGAAACTTGTGGCATTGTCTCAATAGAGAATCCATATGCAGGCCCTCGACATACTGGTTCGGCTGGATTACTTGTTCCAGGAGTCGAGAGTCAAATAGTTAGTGTTGATAAATTAAAGCCTCTTCCTCCAGGCCAACTGGGAGAAATATGGGTGCGAGGGCCCAATATGATGAAAGGTAAACAATGTCAGATTTGATCTGAGATATTTAATGATGCATGTGTACAGTTACCTAAATTCAGAAAGAGCACCATTACCTTCACTTATGTGTCGTGCTAGATAGTTTGTTAATAGCAATGAAATTTTATGATTGATATGAAGATTAGATGTGAATTTCCAATCATTCTTCTCTTTTCTTTAACACCTTGAATATTTAATGCAATGATTTAGGTTGATAAGAGGCCATTGCCCTTGCTTTATTATTATATTCATGGGTTATAATAATCCTCATTTAGTTTTATTTTATTGTTATGTGCTGTGCTGTAAGGTTATTTCAACAATCCAAAAGCTACCATGCAGACAATAGATAAGCAGGGATGGGTGCATACTGGGGATCTTGGATATTTTGATGAAGAAGGTCAGCTATTTGTCGTCGACCGTATTAAAGAGCTCATTAAGTACAAAGGATTTCAGGTAGTTACCCTCTGTGAATAATGCTTGAGATATTCCCTCCATTATGAAATTTGTACCCACTAAGAAATGTATGTTAGACAATACATCTTTGTTTTCCAATTTTCTCCCTTTAATAGGTTTTAAATTCTTTTCGTGGGGGATTTTGCTTATACGTCACTTGATTCATGTTATATGAGGATGGTAGCTGGTTATGTTGTATGTTCTCCTAGTAGGATACATGCTTGTTTTTAATATATTTATATGTAAAACTTTTGCCCATTAATTCTTATACTCGACAGGTTGCACCAGCAGAGCTAGAAGGACTGCTTGTGTCCCACCCTGAAATATCAGATGCTGTTGTTATCCCGTAAGACAAGTATTCAAATTCCCGGTGTTGTTTTCTGTTAAGACTTTTAAGAATACATTTTACATTTTCTTTTTCTTGCCGGGTAATTACATAACATGTTGAGCATTTCTTGTTTTCGTAGCTTCCCTGATGCTGAAGCTGGTGAAGTCCCAATTGCTTATGTTGTCAAGGCTCCTAATAGCTCACTCACTGAGAAGGATATCAAGAAGTTTATTGCAGACCAGGTATATGATTTTTACTAAAAGGAATTATACCTTTTTTTTTTTTTTTTTAAGATTTCAAATTGTGCACATGAAGTTTTGTGTATGTTTTGGGGATAACACACAAGCTACATTTCAGGTGGCGCCCTACAAAAGACTGAGGAGGGTAACATTCATAAATACTGTCCCGAAATCAGCATCGGGCAAAATACTTAGAAGGGAGCTCATCGACAAGATCCGTTCAAAATTGTAACTTCATGTGGCTCCAATTGTTATACCATTTTACCGTATATCGCTTTGTTACACCTAAAAACCGGGTGCGCGGCCACATTGTGGATACCTGAATAATGGTGTTTAAATAAAATGAAACCCCCAACTTTATCAACCATTTTTGCTCCACAAGTGTTGCAGCTAGCTAGTAGTTAGGCATGTTAATTTGTCAAAAAATTATGTTACCAGAATGCTAATAACAAGGGTTAGTTGTAAAATAAACCTCGATGACTTTACGCGTTTTGACAATATAACACAATGATTTTTGAATAATTGTAAATAAATCCCGACCTTGTCCTAGTTGGCGACGAACTCGATGTTGATCGGAAACCATTTTTTTTGCCAGTGTGGCCGACGTATTAAGATGATGTGGTGGGCTGTTTGATTAGCATCTTTAATTGTACATCGATTGCTCTATTCCATTGTCATGTAGCCCCAGAAATCCAATGACTAAGCTAGTTTAGTGAATGGTTAACACAGTAAAATGCCAACGTAACCACAACTTTATTTATATGTCCGTATGTATTAGAGACACACCCTACAATACACGCAGGCCACCAGAGTGATTCTTCCACTACAAGACCAGATCATCCCACACCTATCTTCAAAAAAAAAAAAAAA